CCTCCAATTAAAAAAAAAAAAAAAAAAAAATCCAGATTAATCCAGAATCGTGCCGCTCTATTTTGCACACAAACAGCTCCTAATCGAGTACAGTTTTTATGTAGCCGGCTGATTTTTTCATGGTATTCAGCAGCAATTAAAAAAAAAAATTAAGTGAGTTCACTTCATAAAAGAGTTTTCTCTGTATATTAAAAGCTGGACAGTCCAATAAAATATGTTTAACAGAAAGGGGAACCTTGTAAAACATACATTGAGTAGGGTCTTCACCTTTAAGGAAAAATCCTTATGACCTTGTATGACCTATGCGACATCTGGTCAGCAGCAATTAAATGTTTTCCAGAAAGAGAGACAGAATAAATGTTTGACTTCATTTTTTTTAACCACATTGGAATCGGAACTGGGAATTGATAAGAATCTGAATACGACTTGATAAAATTCAAACCCTAATTAGGACGGGCATTTGTGGCACGGTATGGTTTTCGTTTGGCGAGACACTCACCCACTCCGTGACGTTACAGAGGGAGCTAGACGTGGGCTGCAGCAGGCAGGTGCTCCTGTAGGGGGCGCCTTGGAACCTGAAACGCAAAAACAACATCACGTGATGATTAAACTACTACTTACAGAGCGCTTTGGGGATAAGCCACTGGGTCTCACTTGCTAATAATTACATAGATAATTCATTTTCAGTACTTCTCGCGAAAACGTTCTGGCTAACTCACAACAACATGACTTTGTTCCTAATCTTGCCCCAATATTAATGTATTTAAAGTAAATAAAAGAAGCGACTGCATACCCGAGGTTAATAATTAGCATAAAATATAACAAAATATCCATATTAGGACTTTTTTGCACAATCATTCCTTTATAATCTTTCATAATTCCCCCCGATAAACTTCGCATTCACTTGCGAAACATATGCATTCTCCCCCAAGAAACTTTGTTTGTTTGCAAAACTTCCGTATTCCCAATAAACTCTGCATTTGTTCATCAAACCTGACTCCCCCGCGAAATTTGTTATCAAAAGTTTTGCATTACCCCAAGAAAAGTTATGACGGCTTGCAAAACGTTTGTGTTTCCGTAATACACTTTGCGTTAACTTGCAAAATTTCTCTCAAACATTTTGCATTTTCCCAAGAAACACTGGGTTCACTTGCAAAACTTGTGTTCTCAATAAACCCTGCATTGATTTGCAAGACAGGTTTCCCTGAGAAACTTTGCGAAATTTTATGCATCTTTTCCACTCCGACAAATAAATGATAAAAAATGGGAATAAAACGTAACAAAAAAAAAATATATATATATACACACCCTTAAAATACACAATTATTTTTTGAAGGAGACATTTTATGCCCCTTTTTACAATATGTAATATAAGTCTCTGGTGTCCCCAGAATGTGTCTGTGAAGTTTCAGCTCAAAATACTCCACAGATCATTTATTATATCATTTTGAAAATGGCTATTTTGAGTGGAAGCAGAAACACGCTGTTTTTCGTGCCTGTCTCTTTAAATGCAAATGAGCTGCTGTTCCCCGCCCCCTTTTCCAGAATAGAGCTGCGCCATTACAGCTCGTACCTGCTAAAAACATCTGTTTTGGTTCTGATTATCATGTTTATCGTGCTGAAATCATGCGTTTTAAACCATATGAGTTTAAACTTCAGATATACGGTTTTCTGAGCACACACATCCGAAGCACACGCACAGAAAGCGGCTGTCACAGCATGTGAGTACTAAACTAAGTTCTCATTCACACACAAGTTTACATTAAAAACACACACGAGTTACAAAAAACAGTGGGTTATGTCTGTGAAGGTAAACAGCTGGGAAATAAATCACGGTTATTTTAGATCTGTGTGGCTGCGGAAATATACATTAAATAAATCAATAAATCCACTGCTCTGTTGTCTCCTCTGAGGCTGGGACTTGAGCTCAAACTTTCACCATTGCATTAGAGCTGGTACACCATTGTCGCTTGCAAAAACACAATAACGGCGCTGTGGGTGTAAACTTACAGATTAAGGGGCGGTAATATTATAATGAGATCTTTGCCACGTCACCAAGGGAGCGAAATCTGACACGCTCGTTTTCTCAGACGCTTGCAGAAAAAGGCTTCCCAAAACAAAGTTACTGGGTTAATCTTTTTCACATTTCCTTGGTTGATAGATGCACCGGGGACCTGATTATAGCACTTACAACCTGGAAAAGTCAGATTTTCATGATACGTCACCTTTAACAGAAATAACCATACAAATAAAAAAAAATTACAAAATTACACTTTTCGTGTTCAGGTAATTTTGACCCGTTTATGAATGGAGTACCATTAGGTGTCAAAAATAACCATGTTGTGTGTTCTCACAAGAAACATTTTGTTCACTTACATAAGTTTTGCGTTCCTATGGTGAACTTTCACCAGCAAACCTTTCATGTTTTCTGGAAAGCTTTGGGTTTCATCCAAGAAACTTTGCGTTATCTTGCGCAACTTTGGTTTCTTTCCACTAACATTGTGTGCATTCTCAAAGCTGCTGCATTTCCGCATGAAACTGTGCGTTCGCTCGCAAAACTTCGGCGTTGCCAAGAAATTGTGTTCTCGCAACACTTTTGTGTTCCTTTCAGTTTCAGTTGTTTCAACATTTTTTTGTAAATTTAGAATACATTTTAGCAGAAAAGTTCTGATTAAAATGAATTGTGATTTATAAAACATTCGTACTCCGATTTGACAAATTCCTGTGCGGTTAGTGAACGAGACCCACAGTTTTTAATTGAAATCATATGGGAACATTCGAGTATGTTCAATGCGGTTAAGTGGCAATGCGGCCAAGACTTACGACGCGACCCGATTTTATCCGACTCACCCGAGATCTCTGAAAGGTATCTCGAACTCCAGCTCCTCCTTGGTGAGCGACTCGACCTTCTCGATGAAGTTCTTGAAGGCGGATTTGAGTTTGTGTCGCATCTCTCGCTCCATCTGTTCGGCGTAGAGGTCGTCGCGGTCGTGCATGTGCTGGTGTTTGCCCAGGTCTGTGGTGATCTCGCCCACCTCCGTGTAGAACTGCACGTCCGTGTGACGCTTCTTACCGAACATGATGGCGTTCTACGACAGACAGAGAACTTCGTTAAATCCGGTCGGTGTAGCGTGAGACACCGGACAGACGTTTTCAGTGTGTCGCACACCTTCAGATGGAAGTGCAGCACGATGATCATCTCGCCGTCGCAGGGCTGGAATATGGCATGCTTCATGTTGTTGTAGAGGATGTCGACTTTGTCGCCGCGTACCGACGTGAAACGGAAACCTGGAGAGACACGAAGAGAGTCGGTCGTTTGCGATTAACACACGATCAGGTCAGTTTTCACCTGGAAGAGATATGTAATTACTAATGAATAGTTTTTGAGTAAGGGAACGAAGCTTTTTGTGTTCAGGTCATTTTGACCCGGGTATGTATGGAACACCATTAGATATCAAAAAGACTTTTTGCCATTAAGTTATACAAGTGTCAAAACATTTAGCCTTTTCCCCATAACTCACAAACTTTTAGGACTGAATTCTGCAGATGAAAATAACGTCACCTATTGACAAACATTGCAGCATAAAAATCTGCATTTCTTTTTTTTTTTTTATCAGAAAGCTAAAGTTTATGCAAGTATAATGAATTTATTTTGTTTGAAGACTTCCCAGAGCAATATTAGTGTTGTTTTGGTGTTTTATTAGAAATAAATACATAGGTAATTCTCAAATTATATTTTTCTATAAACTACATACAATGATATATTCAAATAAAGGTTTTCAGCAATATTGAACAAAAATCCTGGAAAGTTTCCATATTTCTGGAATGTGTCCAGAAATTTACCAGAAACTTTCTGACTCTCCGCAACACTATTAAAATATATGCATATATTTTGCATAATTTTTTGGGGTGTGGTTCAAGTCTAATTTGGAATTTTAAAGAATTTTGCAATAAAATAAAAAAAATTCAAAATTGCAGTAATAACATTGAGAAGTTGCCAATCAGATACAACATTGTTTTAGTTGAGAACTAAAATTTCTGATTCTTCTGGTACCAATCAGGTGAATTAATTTTGAATTAATCAGATTTTGAATTAATTATAAGAGTTAATGGCTGTTATATGATAGAGATTGATGCCATTTTGTTAGGAAACAACTGGAATTGATAGATTATATCCTGTGCAAATGGCCCATAGTAGCCTTATAATTCAGTTGCATCAGCCTGCGTCACATACGAGCATGATTTCAGTCGCTCTTCTCTAGATTGGTCATTTAAACCCACATTAAAGGCCTACTAAAGAGCAGAAGCTCTCTCACCGTTGGTGTGCGCCTCCAGCGAGCCCTGCATCCTCTTCTGCGCGATGTTGGGCCGGATGTAAAGGTCTTTGAGCTTGGGGTTGCTGCGGTTGAGGTTGATGACGAGGGAGTCCTGTTTAACGATGCCCTCCTTCTCCTTCTCCTCCGCCTCGCGGGTCTTGTAGCGCTTCTGCACCTCTTTAATGATGCGGAAGGCGTTCTGCAGGTTGGTGGAGGGAACGGAGTGATCGCCGGGCGACTTGAGGTTCGACGCACGGTACGTACTGAAAGAGAGGACAGTGTTTGCACGCTAAAAGGCTTTAAGCATGCTTAAAGGGACTGTTCAATCAAAACTTAACTTTCTGGCATGCTACGAAAAAAGTGTAGTAAAATACGGAGACAAAACGGCAAATGGTGACATTCACTATGAATGTGTGGAAAAGAGCAGCGTGGACATTCTGCTAAATATCTTCTTTTGAGCTCAACGGAAAAAAAGAAAAGAAAAAAAAAGTCATACAAGAATTGTTTAAATCTTATTTTTGTTAAATCTAAAACTAAATCTGGTCTCGCTCCATTACGTATCTTTTCATTAGAATCTAACAAGTAAAGCGTACGAGGAGTTAAAATCAGTGATACACCAAACTTTTAAATTCTGGGCTGAAACCCGAAAATTCTGGATGCACTTAGACAAATATTGAAACCAAAGATAATTATTTAATTAATCAAAATAAAGTTCTACATAAGGCAGTTTTAGTCAACTTTTTATTAACAGAACTACATTTCTACAACTTATTAAAATATTAAAAACTATTACAATTTAATACATATGAGTATTGATAAAAAAAAGAGAAATTACTATTTATTTATGTCTACATATTTTTACTCTTCATATTCTTCTTTATTAATGTTTACTTCAGTTTTAGTTATAAGTGTAAAACAAAATGAAAATTTTACTTGGCATGCAGCTGAAATACAACGTTTTTTTTGTTTTGTTTTGTTTTTAAATTGGTTTAAGAACTATAATAACCAAATAAGTTTTTTATTTTTATTTTTTAAGATATTTTTAATTTTAAGATTTTATGCACATCTTGACAATACATTAAAAAAAAATTGGTTTAAGAACTATGATAACCAAATAAATATTGATTTTAAAATAAGTATCTTTTTTAATTTAAATTTTTTTTTTTTATTATTTTAAGCACATCTTTTTATGCATATCTTGTCGTTTTACTCCAGCATTCAATGCAACATCCCAAAAACTTACACTAAAAATATGCTCAGATACACTTTAGACAGTCTTTTAGGTGTTCGCTGACACAGTGACCAACCACAGGACTGATTTCGTAGTGTTACACTAATCCAAAAAGCCCAGTAACAGGTTTGGAGAGGCTTACATCTCTTTGACAAACGTAGCCTCGGGGTTGGGGAAGAGGTTCCCGTCGTGGCGTCCCAGCGAGCTGCCCGGCACGAAGAAGTTTATCCTCAGATACGTGTAATCTCCTTCCACAGACATGCTGATGTTCTGCAAACACACAACAGAGACTCAGACCAAGCCGAAGCGCCTCAGATATCGCTCCGCAGCAGATGCCTTTACCTTGATGGTGGCGATGTGGAACGGCGTGGCGATGCCGAACACGGGCATGACGACCGTCTCGTACTTCTTATCGATGAAGATCTTCATGTCTCTGATGTCCTTCTCGCGGGGCATCTGGGAAACGGTCTTATACGACACATTCGACTTTCTGGCTCTGAGGCGGAAACGTGAGAAGAGAAGAGCGTTTGTGTCAAACTAGCGTGACGAAATGTGACCACAAAACCATTGAGATTGAGATTCATACATCATCTGAGAGTGGAATAAATGTGTCCCTGCAGCACAAAAGCAGTCTTAAGTCACTGGGGTATATTTGTAGCAATAGCCAACAATACATTGTATGGGTCAAAATTATACATTTTTCTTTTATGCCAAAAATCATTAGGATATTAAGTAAAGATCATGTTCCATGAAGATATTTTGTAAATGTCCTACCGTAAATATATCAAAACTTAATTTTTGATTAGTAATATGCATTGCTAAGAACTTCATTTGGACAACTTTAAAGATGATTTTCTCAATATTTAGATTTTTTTGCCCCCTCAGATTCCAGATTTTCAAATAGTTGTATCTCAGCCAAATATTGTCCTATCCTAACAAACCATACATCAATGGAAAGCTATTTATTCAGCTTTCAGATGGTGCATAAATCTCAATTTCAAAAAATTGACCCTTAACACTGCTTTTGTGCTCCAGGGACATAAACGAACTGAAGTGGCGTGAAAGCGTTCATCCTCGTACTTCTGTATCTGCTGTCCTCCCTTCTGCTCCGTCAGACGCCGCTTGGCCTCCTCGTTCACCTGATTGGCCAGCTCTCTCTGATGGGCCCGCCTCTTCTCCTCAGCAGTCATCTCATTCTGACCAATCAGAAGAGAGAATGAGAACAGGCGGCTGAGATGGGTGAGTTTTGAGGGTCAGTGAACAGGAAGGAGGCACATACCCTGGTTCTGTCTGCCAGCAGGGCGGCGCTGCGAGCTCCTTTCCCCAGCAGCTCCTCAGCATTATCGTCCTCTTCCTCCTCGTCCTCTTCATCGGCGTTCTAGAAACACACAGTAAAACGGTTTCCAGGCAACTTTCACATACATTTATAAACTCTATAGATATAAACCTCTATAGATATATTTGTGTCCAAAGTTGTGAGAAATTGCTTTGTTTGCTAATATTTAATGCGATATTCCACTGTTTATGTTGCATGTGTACAAGAGAACAAAATCACTTTGTGGGAAACTGGTGCAAAAAAATAATAATAATACAAATTTTGGCACCTGAGGAACCCTGTGAATATTTTTTCTGCATAATAATCCTAAAATAATGCCAATGACCACAAACCATTAAAAGACACTACTCTATTTTTCCTTATACATTTTGAATTCTTATTTTTGTTTTATTTTTATGTATTTTTTTCCATTTTAGACATTTTTTTAATATAATTTTCATATTTTGTTATTCATTTTTTTATACTTGATGTAAACTTAATGTTTACTTTAGTGTCTAGCAGAAATAGAATGTTTTCATATTTTATTTCAGTTAAGATCCACTTCATTTTAAATAAATATTAATTTAAATTGGTCTACATGATTTTTATATATTCTTCATTTAATTTTTTTTATCAGTTTATATATCTATTATTGAAGTTTATTTCAGTTATTTTTATTAAAGTAAATGAAAATTTTATTTAGCATATAACTGAAATAGAATAAGTTTTTCATGTTTTATTTCTGTTTACTTTATTTCAAATAAAAATTATTAGTTGTCGTTTTTAATAGGTCTACATCAGGGATGGGCAACTGGCGGCCGTGAACGGCCCGCTGGATCATATTAGACTCGGATGATAAATTTTAAAACATTTGAAAAGCAAGTCACATAAAGATTGCTTTCAGTTTAAGATGTTAATACTATCTCCAACCAGGAGAGGTCGCTATTTCCAGCCGCTCCCGTATTAATTTCAGCATAGGACATGCACTCTAATGTAAACATTCACTAACATTAGCAAATAATAAATGAAAAACTGACCATGAAAACAGTATTTTCCAGTCAAGATGGTAAACAGATTATCTTTTTACCAAGTTCAAGGGGATACCCATATGTTTGGATTGTTTATAAATCTGTATTTTATTTAAATCGCCATCACACCACTGCTCACAAACAACGGGGATGCCAGAGTTGCACTTGCCTCAAATTTCAAAGGTAAAATTCAGTCAACAAAAGCTTTTTGGCAAATGCATGACAGAAATGTTTGCACTGGATGGTGTTATTATTAAGGTTTCCGCGGGTCCTTAAAACGTCTTCAGTTAAATTGTTTACATTTAAGGCCATGCAAACTCTTAAAATGGTACAAAAAGCCTAAATTATAAGAGGTCTTTGGGGACGGAAAGACAATAATTGCTATATGGATTAATATGACGATTAAACTTCAAAAGGCTCAACTGACAAATCTGCTTTCTCAATAAGCCCTTCTGCTATTTTTGCTGCATATTTTTAAATGTAAACCAGTGGATCGACAAAAAGCTAATACATTATAAAAATCTAAACAATTAAGACACTAAGATATATTTATGTTATTTAATATAATAATTAA